GCAGGAATGTTAGGGACAACTATGGCTGACACACAGGCCTTTCTACAGAAGAAACCAATCTTCCTGGGGAAAGGGGGCCTGAAGGCTGAAGCAGCAGGTGAGTTCTTGTATCAGGAGTTTGGGATGGGTCTATAAGGTGGAAAGAGACACGGCCATTTCTTGGGCTTTCCTAGACCATGCTTTTCCAGCTGGTGCATGATATTAATAAATAAAACCAAACCTAAAAATTAAACAGGGCAAAACAACACAGTGTTTTGGAAGATTAATCTGGATTCTAGGTGGTAGTGTGGGAGGACAGTACAGAGATGTAGTCACCCAGGCATGAATTAATGTGAGCCTAGGATGGGAAGGGCAGTAAGATTGGGAAAGAAGGAATGAACCTAACAAAAGAAAAGTAAGATTTGTTTCAAATGGTGTTAGCACTAGAGCATGACAGTGTCTTGACAAGATGAGTCTTTTTAAACTCATGGAAAATGAGGACTCTAGCGCCGATAAGCAAGCTAGAATTAGAAATTACAACACACAGTGAGGCTAGCATACCCATAGCACAGTGTTTAAGAGAACTGGATCCCACATGGCCAACCACAGTATGAATTCTGGCCTTGGCAGCTTGAAAAACATTCTGGTGTGTACATGAATGCCTAAAATTATGATGGGAAGGAGAAATGGAGGAAAAGGATTGTGGCATGACTATGCCCCACTGGGGGGGGGGTTGCTCTCTCTCACTCTCTTCACTTTTATCTCTCTGGTAAGCACATGTGCCTTCTGGCTCTCTCTCACTCTCTTAATTTTTATCTCTCTGGTAAGCACATGTGCCTTCTGGCAATAGTAATAACAATAAAAAAATCCAGGAAGCTGGATTATGGGAGTAGATAATAAGTCTATTCTTAGGTATACTTCGTGTGAGGTAGGACATCCATTCTGGTTTTGGGATTCCATTAAAACATCAATCCTAGCTAGAGACAACTTCTCTTTTAGATGATCATTTTTGATATACAACTAATAAACATACAAACCCTGCTTTTTATTCCCTGTGGTTTTACAAAAGCATTTTTTTGTTTTGTTTTGTTTTCTGTTTATTAAAAAAATTCTAGGATTAAACAAGCAGTCAACTGGGTATTTTTAAACACACTAGAACTGTGTTCAGCACTCACATTTTTTTGTAAGGCCAAAAATGGGGAGGCCAGCAATGAGCCAGTGGGAAGAAAGCAACACATCCAGGCCTCTTTGATTTGAACTCTCAGTTTCTATGTCCTAAGCATTTCAGACTGTCACTTTTTCTGATGTCTTCTATCCTCGGCCAGATGAAGACTATAATTCCAACAGGTTGGAATATTTTGTCTAGTTTCTGAAATCACATGTTTATATGACAATTTATAGTTTAATTAAAAACTTCACATGTTAGTTTACATTCCGAAAGGGAGCTCTATTTTTAACTGGTTCCTTTAAAAATATTGTTTACGTAATCCCAAACTATTTTTACAAATCTGTTTCTGGCTCATTCATTCCCACTTCATTCATCAGAATGCGGTCATTCAGGTTAAGAAGACAAGAAGGGATTAAGTTATAAGACTGCATTTTAAATAGTTGAAAATGTGTATTTGCCATTCCGTTGGTTGATTTGTCTTTTAAGATGGAGCCTAAGCCTATAAAAAATTGAAGTGGGAGCAGAACATGGCAAAATGTGTTGGCTTTTCTTAGATAAATCTGTTAGTCTGTGTGTACTGTAAAATGGCATTATCCCTCCATTGGAAATTACACTTCCCACGCAACAGACGCCACTCTGCCTTCTCCTCACAGACTTTCCCAAAGTTCAGAATCCCTTCTGCCTTTGGAGTCAATTCCATGGTGAAACCATTAGTTTGGTCCCCCATTTGGATTCATCTAACAAGAGTTCCAAGATGTGATCCTTTTGAAAAGAGCATTTAACGATCAGCCGGCACAAAAATATAACTACAGATAACTTCCAAAGTGGGTTTCTCAGAGCAAATAATTAAGCAAAAGAGAAAGCCAACAAACTTCATAATGAAAAGGAAAACCAAGGATTTTGTATCTAGTGAAATCTGAAGGTGGTACATGTGGTAACACAGAGATCCCAGACAAATCTATGGACTCCTGGTACGGCCATATGGACTTACCAGATTGAGGAGCGTCAAGTACTTCCTGTGTCCACCTTTTAGAGTGAATTTTAAATCCTCCTTCTCAATTCCTAGTTGTGGGACGTGGCAGTTGAGGAAGATATACCAGCTCAGAACAAGGAAGTGGTAAATGCATATAGATATCTTCATCACGGCTAACTCTGGCTAGGCACCGGGAAGGCCTCTAGTAACTTCCCTCCGGAGTCCTCCTGTGGGTCACAGCTGAAGTCCTACCGCAGGCTGGAGAGCTGGAAAACACGCCCCTTTGAGCTCGGAGGTTCCACCACAGCTGAATTCTGCTTCTCTCTTGGGCTCCTTTCCTGATAAACCTGTGAGACAGAATTATTGCAGGTTCTCAGATGCCTTCATTTAAATGATAAGATAATGTGCAAATTGACTTAAGTTTCAACATTTAAGCTGTGAAGCAAGGAGGAAGCAATGCAGAAGTTGTACTTTGCTCCATTTCACTGGGTGGGTGCATGGCTAAATGACCTTATTATGAAATACCAGCAGAAGCCTATAAAATACTATCATGGCTGTATTCTCTTTCATTTCTTCTTGTTCAGGCAAAATGAGGTTGTTGTAATAATATCTTTTGAGAGAATGGGAAGCAAGTTGATAAGCCAGATAAGGGAAATGTGTCAGTGTTTCTAGGACACAAAGAGAGGTAAGCAGAAAGGACAAGAGTGTTGTAATCTTTTTTCCTGAGGTCAAAGTGACTCCATAGTCTGAGACAACCTTTGATCCTCCAGGGAATAGCCCCAAGACTCTCCTCTCTCCCTTTTTCTCTTTCTCTTTCTTTCTTTTTCAGTTTTGTTTCTATCCCCAAGAGAAGCAAAAGTTACCCTGGGTTGTCACAAGACTCTTTCGGCAAAGGCAGTGCTGGATCCTGAGGGAGAAGAGATATAGGAAGAGATTGTTGACCAGGACCCCTACATACCTGAGTTTAGACATTGCTGTGAGAGGGTAAGGGACTCTGCACTGCTGTGGAAGACATGAGACATGGTAGGGCTAGGCACAATGCAGGGCTAGACTCTGCCTCAGGCACCACAGAGGGGAACTGAAGGAGAACTGGAAATGGGCTGCCTTGTGACATCATTGGTTTGTTTCCCTGGGCAACTGACAAAGAAATTGAGCAGATCTCCCAGAGAAAGCTCCCAATGAAGTTATACAAGCCTGTAGTTGGTGCTGTTTGATGATTCAACCAAGACTTGCAAGTACTGGGAGAGAGAACTGAGAGCTGGACATGGCGTACAAACACAAAAACAGACACAATCCCACCTCCTAGAAGTCATGGGCCTCAACTATTAGGAATTGTGGATGGGAGGAGAGCACACCTGAGCCAGCAATTGAAAACCTACACTGTCACCATGTCTTAGTCTGCTGGGGATGCTCTAACCAAATACTGTGACCTGGGCTGCTTATAAACAACAGCAGTCTGTTTCTCACAGTTCTGAGGGCTGTAAGTCAAAGGTCAAGCTACTGGAAGATTCAGTGTCTGGTGAGGGATCACTTCCTGGTTCATATATGGACTTTCTAGCTGTGTCTTCCCATGGTGGAAGAACAAGCAAGCTTCTTTAGGGTTCTTCTGTAGGAACACTAATCCCACTTGGGAGACCTCTGCCCTCGTGAGCTAATCACCTCCCCAAAACCCACACTCCCCAACACTGTTACCTTGGGGATTATGATTTCAGAATTAATTTTGGGGAAACACAAATATCTGAACCACAGCAAACCACTCCCAAAGGAGAGAGTGATTCAGGAACTGGGTGACATGAAACTTTGTACAAAACTCTATGGTCTAGGGTAAAATTGCAAATAATAACAGCAGCTAATACTTTTTTACAGTACTTACTATATTCCAGGTTTTGTTCCAAGTACTTCATAAATATTAGCTCATTTAATAATCTAAGCACTATTATGAGGTAACTATTACTGTAATCCCCATTTTCAGGTAAAGCCCAGACTGCTAAAAGGATGGTGTCAACAACTAATGAGAATCAGAGCTGCAGCCTCACAAAGAAATAATGTTAGTCTGCATACTCTCAGGGTCCCTTTTCAATATGTCTTCCCTCCTTGCTTTGTCCTTTTTATTCCTCTATCTTCTCATTAGAAAAATTCCCTCAGAGAAGAATCATGTATGTTTTGAAACTTGGTGTACATATAAGTTATCAAACTATGCCTCATGGGTGTTTTCATTTTAAACATTATTATAGATTAAGAGATTGTATTTCTTTAAGTAAAAATCTTGAATCTACATCTGAAGATGATTAAGGATTGAGGCAAAAGGACCAAAGGAGGGAAAGACAAAGACTCAAAGGTCCAAACTTGGAGACTGATTGCTTAGACCTTTTTTCTACATTAACTTTAATTCTCACAGATGAGGACTTTCATAAATACTGATACAATAATTTAAATGTATTTGTAAGAGGTTTGCTATTAGACACTATAATTAATAATCAGCATTTCTATATAGAAAGTATGAGAGACATTTAAAAAGTACATGAATGAGATCAGCAGATGGTGTAATGTTTATGTCACTGGACTCCCATGTAGTCAACCATGGTTTGAGTCCTGGACCCAGTGGCTTAAAACTCAAGCCAGGTGCATGTGCATGCCTACCCAAAATCCCAAGAGAATGAAGAAGGGACTGTGGTATGGCCATCCCCTCTGGGGCTGATGTCTTGCTTTCTGTTTCTCTGTTTCTCTCTGTCTCTCCAGCAAGTGCACGTGCTTTTTAGCAAAAACCTCTCTACAAAAAAAAAAAAAAAGGATGAGGAAAAATAAAATTAAAAGGTTTATTTTGGTCCAAAAAATTTGAAATCCACAGTTTTTTTATTTTATGCATTTTCCATAAACTTTTGAAGACCCCTTCATATGTAACTTCTTAATTCAGTATCTCCATTTTCTTCTGAAACGTACCGCAAAACTGTAACCTAATGGAAGCTCTATACAACGGTCATATTCAAATCATAATTTGTATCCTTGGGTGAGTAACCAAATAAATTTTCATGAAGCAGTTTGATTATTCATCTCCTACCATGAGGCTAGGTAGCGCTTTGGAAAATGAATGCTACCACTTAGTTTCACAGTTTTATAAACTAGTACATACCTAGTCTGCCATTTGTCTGCCTTTTGTTCTCTGTATTTGGAGATCCCACATCATAGCTAGAAAAAGTGGGAGAAAATGATGTCTTGATTTTTAAAATTTATTCTCTTTTTTAAGTTTTCATCATAGGGCTTATGTGCTCATTGGGGAGAGACAGAGAAAGGGAAAGTGAGAAATAACCCCTCAGGAGAATGGCCACACCACAATTCCTTCTACTCTACTCTCCCCTTGGGACTTTGGGCACACATGCACATATGTCCAGCATAATTTTTAAGCAGTTGGGTCTGGGATTTAAAATGTGGTTGGCCATGTGGGAATCTAGCACCCTAACTACCACATCATCTGCCAGTTCCCACAGTCCTCATTAAAAAAAAAAAAAAATCTAACAGAAATGAAATTGTTTCACCTAAGAAATGTTAAACATTTTAAAATAGACATATATTTTAGACTTCAATGTAAGTATTCCACAGATAACTTGATTAGTAAAAGTGACATTCTTTGACACTCTCTGTTCTTTGGGAGCCCAGAATAGCATTCTTCAATTTCACAAATATGAAGGATCCTCATGGAAAATGTGTATCATGGAAAAGCTGTGCATGTATTTTTAAAACAAATTTGCACCAAAATAAATGTATACCTTCTTTTGGAGAGAGATTTTGCTATAGGGAGTGTGTCTCACTGGAGAAACAGAGAAAGACAGACAGACAGACAGACAGAAAGCAAAAAATTATTCCCCAGGAGGGATGGCCATGCCACAATCCCTTTCTCCTGTATTATTTTCACAGGATCTTGGGCGCACACACACACACATGCCCAGTGTGAGGTTTAAGCTACCGGGCCTGGGACTTGAACTCTGGTTGACTACATGAGAGTCCAGTGATGTAACCATTTCACCATATGCTGGTCCCAGGAGTAATTCTACATCTCTCCCTGACATATGTCCCCTTACCTTGTCAAGATCACCTACAACATACCATCCAAGTTCCATAACTTTTAATCAATACCGTTTAATTAGCCCACTCTGTTCTGGCTTTTGCAGTCTTTCTAGCCTCATCTCTTGTTTTGCTTGATGTTCCCCCACCACCACCAAATTGACAAAGCCTCCAATCCACATCTGTCTATGTCACACCCCAGTGTCTTCATTCCTATGGATCCTCTCTCTGATGGCTTCCTCTCAGTATGTCTTTGGTTGGTTATCCTAACCATCATTTAAAATGCAGCATGACAACTTCCTTCTCTAAGATCCCTCCCTTGAACCACTCTTCAAGAGGCCACATTAAATAGTCCCCTCGTATCTTCCTTCATACTGTATGCATCTCTGCAAATTGCATGACGATTTGAAACTAATCTTTTTTATATGGCATTATCTTCTTAGGGTTCAGAATTGATGCATGAATTCCCAGAGCCTAACAAAGTGCTAGGTATATAGTAAGTACTTAATAATTATCTGTTGAATAAGAAGACAAAATATTCATGCTGAGAATATCTGTTTTTTATGCTGTAAAGATATACAGTAATTGAATGTAAAAAAAAAAAGAAAGAAGAAAGAAAGAAAGAAAGAAAGAAAGAAAGAAAGAAAGAAAGAAAGAAAAAGAAAAGAAAGATGAGGGAGAAAAAAGAAAAGGAAAGAACCCAATTTGAAAATGGCAAAGGACCTGAATAGACATTTCTCAAAAGAAGAACACACGATGGTCAACAGGTATATGGGAAAATGCTCAACATCATTATTCCTCAGGGAGATACAAATTAAAACCACAATGTGATATCATCTTACATAGATAGGTCAGAATGGCTATTATTAAAAAAGACAAAAGATAATAAATGTTGGCAAGGCTGTAGAGAAAATGGGGCTCTGGTACACTGTTGGTGGAGATATAAATTAATACAGCCATTATAAGAAACAGTGTGGGGCTTTCTTTCCCAAAAAATTAAAGATAGAACTATCATATCATATCATATACCCACTACTGGGTATATATCCAAAGGACATGGAATAGGTACATTGAAAAGATATCTACATTCCACATGTTGGTTTATAATGAGAGTGACTTCTGGGAAGGACAAACATGGTAGACTTTGTAGCTTTTTTACACAATAGCCAAAGTATGGAATAAGCAGATATGTTTCTGGATGAACAGATGAAGAAAATGTGTTGCATAAGTTTCTCTTAAAGGAGAAGGAAATCCTGTCATTTGCAGCAAAATGGATGACACTAGAAGATGTTATGCTAAGTGGAATACGCCAGGCCCAGAAAAACAAATTCTGTACAATCTCACTTACATGTGAAACCTAAAACAACAGAATTCAGAAAAACAAAGTACAATGGTAGTTATGAGGGGCAAGGGTTGGGGGATGAGGGTAGGAGAAGGTATTGAGGAAGATTACTGAAAGAATACAAAATTTTAGTCAGATAGGAAGAATAAGTTCAAGAGCGCTACGGTCCATCATGATGGCTATAGTTAATAAATTGTATACTTG